GGAACGGGGGTTTTGAGGGGGGAGGGGTGGGGAGGGGAATGATCCCTCACCCCGGGAAGCCACCCTCTAACCGTCTGTGGCTCGAATTGGTAATTTGGGACTCTTGGTATTACTGGTTCGTCGATAATAAAGGTTTCTGTTTTAAATTGCTTTGTTTTTCACCGCCGCATCTTTACAAAATTTTTTTTTTGATCGCGGAATTTCGTCCTCAGAAAGCTGTTTTTTATTTAAATGATATTTTATATTTTTTTTTTTTCATTTTAAGTATATTTTCATTTTTTTTTCATCTCTTTTTCTAACCAAGAAAACCCACGGAATAAAAATATTTTCTGTTTAATGAAGTATTGTTTTAAATATGTCTTTTCCTATCCCTTGTTTTGCTTCATCGTTACTTATTTATAAATTCGTTTCTTTCGAATTATACAGATGAGGTATGGGCACGTAACTTTTGCTTCAGGTCTCAGCCGAACAAGATGGGCTTCTTCGTTTCTGGGATTTTCGATGGGTGAAACTGATCGCTGAATTGAAAGTCCCATCGCCGGTTGTACAGTTTTGCATGTGTAGCACTAACTCGCTGTTGGCTATCGGTGTTGGCAATGGCTCAATTGGAATAGTGGATGTATTGTGTCGGAAAGTTGTGAGAATTTTCAGCGGAGCGCACAAATCAAAACTCACAGCTTTGGACTTTTCGCCCGATGGCAAATGGCTTGTCAGTGCCGACGAAGATGGACTAATCAAAGTTTGCCCTTTCACTTCACATTTTAAACACTTCTGAAACACATCTGCACTGCTGAAAGTTGCTTGATACCCTACAGATTCGTGTTGGAATGTTTACCCTCAGCATCTATCTGCAGTTGCAGACGCATATCAAAAAAGGTTTTGACCATTTCTTCTCGTTGTTCTTTGGTCATCTGGGCCATTCACCCTCCTTCCAGTGGCACAGGTCCAGTGCTACAAAAGTCAGGGTCTAAAGCTAAAACTGAAGCAAACAGTCTTCCACACTCCTGTCTTTCCTCCCAGGAACCTTGCTCTTCCTCTACCTCCACCTCTCTCCCCCGGTCGACACCGCACCAGTAGGTCCATTCCCCCCTCTCTTTCTTCCCCCGCCCCCCGGGTCAGCACCCGACCGGTAGACCCACTTCCTTCCTACCCCTCCTCCTCTCTCCCCGTGGAGGCCATGTTGGATCCGCCTATGTCTGGGATTCTCACATTCTTCGGCTGCTCCCCGCCATAGCAGTTTAGGTGGAAGATGAGCGAAATGCTAAAGTCTGTTATATTCTTCATTTCATGTTGCTGTCCATGCTGCTTCATATAGCTCACGTATTACGCTTTTGCATTTGAAACATAGCTACACGACTCTTACTACATAATTATCACTTGCTAATTTTAGAGACAGTACTCTTTGCCACCCAAGCTTTTTTGAATGAAATCTGTCACTGTGTATTTTTGAAGCTGCTATGAATTGTATTCTGCCATGTCTCAACACTGCTTGGCCACTGGCCAAATCCACATTGCATTTTTGGATTTATTTGTCAAATTTTTACCGAAAATTTTTCGAAATTTACCGAAAATTATCGAGAAAGACATGTCAAAAAAAAAAATTGCGGAGAAAAATTCAAAAGGACCGAAAGTTTTTGCAGGAGAATTTATTTGTCAGAAATTGACTTATTAACCTTCCTACATGTCTGTATGCTTTAAGTAATCCATGACGAGGACTGAAAAGAATCTTGAGCGACGCACTGCAGTTTCAAGATGCTTTTATGATAATGGCCTGCATATTCTATTTTTTGGAGTTGT